TGTCAATTTCTAGTGACAGCATAATGTTTCAGTCACACACGTACACACGTATATTCCTTTCCATATTCTTTTTCATTATAGGTCACTACAAGATATTGACTATAGTTCCCTGTGCTCTGCAGTAGAAACCTGTTTATCTATTTTATACCTTTTTAACAGCAGCTGACCCTTCACTTATTCTGAGACCAGAGCAGGGACTCATAGTATAGAATCAAGTAAATACCATTAGCAACGATTTTGTTTAGCTATTTGCACTGCTTTAATTACATGGAGATGGTATTGGTGACCTTTTCCTGTCTCTTTCTTCCTTAATGCCCATCTCAGGAGAGTTCCATGCTGTCAGTGGTGAGGAAGGTTTAATTTTGCCCACAAAAGAGACAAAAGCTGTTCCGAAGCCCAGAAGCCAAGGTGCCACAAGAGAGTTGCAGACACATGAACACTGCGGAAACCATTATTTTTGCTGGTTTTCTTAAAAAGACAACCTGAGTGCTTCAGTAACGCACATACAAAAGCAGCCTCGGATAATGCTTAGAAACCATCTTTTAAATGAACTGTCTTGGTGTCCTATAGTTCATCAAAGGTTTCCTGTCTCCAAAAGGTCAACGTTGTATCCCTTACCCTTTCTGAATCTCAGAGTACCTTTTCAGCAACTCATTTCAGAAAGGTGAGCAGGTGTCTCTCAGGCCTAACAATCATGATTCCACAGTTCACAGATTCTTAAGATAAATCATTAGACTGCTATCATATATAGCCTTCTGTCTGTTTTTCGGGCTCAAGTTTTAGAAAAATCAATAGTTTTGGAATAGTTACGAGGGCTAAAACCCTGATTAAATGTAGCAGGGTCAAAATGTCAGGATAACATGGACCTCCACTTCCCTGTTGACTGTAACACGTCCCGTTCTTTTAATTCAGACTTTGAAACTTTTTTTAATATTTAGGTCCTTGTAACAAAGCTCAGCCAGCTCTGGCACCACCTCATTCTAGTTCTGCTCTCTCGGGCTCCTGCTGAATGAGCGTGTGTATGTAACGCCTCTCCAGGCTTACAGACACGTGGAACAGACCCAGCTGAGTTGAAATTTTTGCACACATTGGGTTTCTCACCTTGCCTCATTTAGGAGAATGAGGCTCCCTGGTTGGGATGCTGTTTGTAAAGCATCTTCTTCCATGACTACCACCACACGGCTGGCCTTGGCAGGTCAGCTGATAATGACCAGCGGGCTCCACCCCAGCTCATCATTTCTTTTTCAGACAATGCCTTAAACTTTTTAACTGAAACTTTAGATTAATGAATTGTTTTATAAGAAGAAACTAGACTAGAGTAAATTATATACAGATTTAGTAAAATGATTTTTATGGGTTGAATGTTTATTCCCTCCCAAAATTCATAGGCTGAAACCCTATCCCCCACTGGCACGGTATTTGGAGGTGGAGCCTTTGGGTGATTACATCAGGCGACTGAAGCCCTCATGAAAAGGATCAACACCCTATAAGAGAGCCCCCAGAGAGCTCCAGTGTCCCTTCCACCATGTGAGGACACAGCAAGGAAATGGCTGTCTCTGAGCCAGGAAGTAGGTTCTCACCAGAAACTGGATCTGCTGGTGCCTTGACCTTGAACTGACCAGCCTCCAGAACTGTGAGAAATAAAGTTCTGTGGGTTAAGCCACCCAGTCTGTGGCGTTCTGTTACAGCAGGCTGAAAAACTGAGTGAGACAGCAGCTAATGCAGACATCTCCACTGTATACATGTCAACGTCACCTCCTTTTGACCAGCAAGCCTCCTCCACTGGGAGATGGTAGCGATCCTGTGTCTCAGCCACAACCATGGGCTGTCACATCCTTTCCGCTTTGCAGCCTCCCTCTGCCTGTACTCAGTTACCAGAGCTTTACTGACCCAGCTCTTCTGATGTTTCTGCCTCTGTCCTCTCCTCTCACTGCCACTGTCTCTCCCCTCCACACACATTTCCTTCCTGCACTCAGCACAGCCCTGGGCCACAGATGAGGTCACCTCTCCCAGGCTTGGGATCACGTCGCACCTTGAGCACTCACTCCCTTTGTAAGGTGCTGTCTGCATCTGTGGTCAAAGCCAGACTTCCTGGTCACGCTGCCTCAGCCCTGTGATCCTCTCCTGCTCCCATCCATAAGATCAACAACTGCATTGGTCACAGCGACCCCAGGCCCTGTGCCCACATCACTCAAAAACCCGCTGTTCACACAAAGGCCCAGAAGGAACTGGTCAGACCAGTCTAACTCGTTGACTTCTTTACATGATGGACAAGACTGTTTACCTACCCGCTGCTCACTGGGTGGAGAACAACCCACTTTCCAGCTCAGGGCACTGGGGAAAACGGTCCCCCAGGAAACAAAGCAACCCTGTCTCTATGATGGTTCCTGTCTCCTCCACTCAGTCCACACCTCCCCCTCCTTGCCGAGCCTAAGCATCGAGGAGTAGCTGCTGAGTCACTGGGAGTGCCACCGTCCCAGCTACAGCCTTTCAGTGCTTGAGCCTTGAACCCCTGCCTCCCACCGTGCAGAGGATGTAAGCGGGGCTCTGAACTAGCAAGGTCAATTCCTATCCATCCCTCCTTCCCCCGAAGAGACTCTGCTCCATGAGAACCCAGACTAAAAGGAAAGGCACTGTAATATTAATCACCAAACTTTATTGAGTACTGACTATTTTTAGGGCATTCAGTACAGCACCAGGGACCCAGAACAGCACAGACACTGCACTCAAGAGCCCCCAGTCCAGTGGGGGGGTGCATGTGCACATACACTGTGTGTGTGTGTGTGTGTGTGTACTTGACTTCTTCCTGTGTCACAGGCTAATCCCCAGGGTCTGAGGGGCCCCATGTCAGACACTGTGCCCTCAGCTGGGGAAGGAATGCAGTGTCTCTGTCCCATTCTACAGGTTACAAAGCACACATACATAGTCTCATCTGTTGTCTCTGAAGCCTCTGGAACATGAGCGATCTCTATTAGAGTCCTTCTGTCTTCCTAAAATGGAAAAGCTCCGAAACAAGATCACTGCGTAATGTGAGTGAGTCCCAGGCAAACCTGGCCAGGGTAAAGTATCGCGGCGCACACTGAGGGAGGAGTGCCTCCGGGCCAGCAGTGCGCTCGAACCTCAACCTCCCGCCTCCCCGGCTCCCCCGGCGCGCCCGGCCCCACGCTGCCCACCTCCGTGAGGGAGAGGGGTGCAGTGGCTGAGACGCTGGTGCCAGTCCCCTCCTGGCTTCACCACCACCATCACTGGCTTCATACCTAGGAGCAAGTGACTTCACTTCCCTTCACCTTGGTTGTTGTACCTTCCACAA